AACGTACTGTAGGTTCCTTTATTTGTTAGAAAAAACCACCAAAACGCCTAAATTGGAAGGAGAAGTTCGGACGAAAATCGCTTCAGCGATATAAGAAACTTTTTGAAATGGTTCTATTGTACATCAGTATAGTAACCGGTATATTAAAAAAGAAATTTTTAATGGGGCTTCTCCTCATCCTCTTTATTGCCGTAGACGAGGCTCCACTCAGCTTTCTAGGCGCTCAAGCGAGATTATTGAAACTTGCCAACGTCATTTCTGCAAAGCAGTCAAAGTAGAATTTTCCTAGGAAACGATGTAATGCTCCACCGACTCCTCTCGCCTATGTGTCTGCAGCCACGGCAGGTGGTGTGATTAAAAAGAAGAGATTAAATGGCAGCTTGGCTATCAATATATGGTGTGCAAGGCTTGAATACTGTACTAGAGCTCAGTAACCATGAAACGGCTTTCATTTTTACCCATAAATTCGGCTTGAAAAACGCTGCAGTGGTTGGAAAGCCGCGGCACATTTAGATTGCAAGTGGTTACAAGTAAATTCTGCAGCTTACCCTGCCATCGATTTTTGAACCGTCAGTAAGGAAGGAAATGGATTTTTGATACAGAACTGTTACTTTTTCCCATTTATTCCACGCTGGGATTTCTACTGAAAAAGTTTACTAAGAACAGAGAACAGGTGTGCTGTAGTCGACTTCTTTCAAGAATGGCATAGAAATTGCATTTGGCCTTGCTGCATTACAACCTGCCTGTATTTTCCCATGCAGATATCTAGGGAGAAAATTAAGCAGAGTTTCAAGTAATTTTTTTAAGATGTGGGGCGGCTGCTTACTGAACTTTATCCAGCTTGCACCTCTCTGTACGTATATAGCCTTTTCTAGTGCCCACCACCAGACAGTGACTCAGCAAAATAATATTGGTCTTATCACCGGTTTGTATAGTCAATAATCTATATGCATTCTTCATACCCATTAATTTCCTAATGCTATTTTGCAAAGCGGTTCCAAGTAAGATTACTATCAAAAATGGTACGTGAAATAGTGCTCTAGATGTCTTTTATTAAGGCTGGCTTAAAAGCAGGTAGTATATAACTTATAGTAGTACAACCAGACTGCAATCGATGTACCAATTACTTACTATATAAAGATCATTTCAGAGTAGATCACTCACTGTGCGTGCTTTGTAGTTTGCGAAGCAGCCTGTTAACTGCGAGACACCAATGCGATAGAGAGGGCACTCCACTCAGTGAGGTCCTACCTTTGGCGTACCTGGTCGAGGGAGTACATTCTAAAGTAACATTAGAATATTATGCTGTTTTCTAAGAGAGATTTCAACAATTCCAATAAGAATTGTAACTACTATAAAACTCGGTTTTATTTTAGGGTGTTAAAAAATTCAAAGAGAATATACTACTACACATTGGCAAGTAGTTTGAGCGCACAAACACTCCCACAGTAATGACACGAATTATGTGAACGGTTCAACCAAGCATAGCACACTTTTAGGTACTTACGCAATGTTTTTGTCTTTTTTTTTGCAATGAATGTTGTACTTTTTCGAAATAAGCCTTAAATCTCAACGTTTGCTTTATGAGTTTTGTATGGATTTTTTTATTTTATTGCCTAACTTTTGCATTGAAATTTATTCATTAACGAACAATTCAGTAAAATAATTTACTAAATTGTTACAACATCATCAAAAGTCAGTTAAGTGGCAAAAGTAATTTTGCTATTAGAACTAGATTAACGCGTACAGAATCAGAGTAACAGCAAGTAGTAATAAATAATTAGTAAAGGAAAAAGCGTTCTGCAAGGAAAACGATAAGTTTCTGTATACGCGTGTGTATATAAAAATATATAAATACACTTCTTTTATACTGTTTTTTTTTTTGGATTTCAAAGAATTCTTACATGAGCATATCTACCAAGTCATTGATTAAAGACTTTATATAAATATTATATTCAATATATACCCTTGAGGATTACCACTTCTTCTTGTTCTACTTTAATGCTTCTCCTATGTTTATGTCTTAACATAAAAACTACATACAAGAGCACGAGACTCATTTCCTACTTTCTTGCCCACTTTATTCATAAAGCCTAATAATGTGTTAACTCCTTTATAAATAAATTTCAGGCCTAAACCCTAAGTTATGGCGTTAAGTATTTATTTCCTATTTCGCTCATATTTTACTAGTCCCCCACTAAACAGCACAGCACATTTGTTTAACAGCTTTAAGTTGGCTTATCGTACTCTATAAAGCATACAACTATAACTCACACTTTTACTTTTACTACTTCATCTCTCTCCCTAGCAAGTCTACATATATTTATATGAGTATAGTATTCCTTTTATACTCATTGCCTTGTTCCCAATAATAGTTTCTAGTGTTTGTTCTTCTCTCTGCCATTCTTCAATCTCCTTCACCCATTCTAGTTAGAATTAGAAGGCTGAACTGCTTCTACTGCTATCGCGCCTTAAGTGCCAATAAAAGTCAATCTTAACACTTTTCCGATAACCACTTAACCAATTCACATATTTCACAAACACTTAGGCGAATGCATAAATCAGCTAATAAAGGCGTTGAGTAGGAAATCGAGAGTCGCAGTGAAGTTAGTTTGGCGTATAGCAATAATAATAGTTTTGGCGTGAGTGTACACTCTTACGTATATCTAGCGCTCCCTTATGGTGTGAAACCCCTTTATTATATTAATAGAAAAATAAAAACTATTTTATGGTTAATGCTTTTATTAAGCAGTGTAAAAATTTAATAATAGTTTGGGTAGTAAAAATTTTATTTCTTTTTAGTACGTAAAAGATTTACATATGCTTTATGGCATATGAAGGCGCATAAAATGGTACAACACTGCGTATGAGCAACCGAGAAAAATGATATGGTTAGAAGGAAAACTCCAGTTGCATCTGTACGAGTATTATTTTACGATTGAAAACTAGTCCCATTTTATTATGTTAGTTGAGTAGTATAAAGCATAAAAATATAATGTAAAATTATTTCAATTTTTTTCTTTTTTTAAATTATTGAAACTCAGGCATTGTGACTTACTTGCAGGGACCAGATTTTAATTTTGTTTTGTTAGTAGATTTGTATACTAAAATATCTTAATTCAGAAGCACTTGTTAAGTGCGGTAACTAATAAAAACAAATTTAAAATGCTCCAAATATGGTAATGCTATAAATTAGTTAAATGAAAATTTTTCTAAGCATTAAATTAATTTTTTATATTAGAAATTTTATTAAAAAGAATTTAAATTCATATAAGCGCATTAAAGAAAATTTAAAATTTTAGTTGAAAAAAAAATTCAAAATTATATATGTATTTAAAGAAGACTCAAATTTAATTTTTTTTCGATAAAAAAGTCTTGATTATTTAAAAGAAACACATAGACTTTCCATCAAAAAAAGCAAACGTTTCGGAAATTACTAGCGTTTCAAAAAAAATTTTACTAGCAGTAGGAATGCTAGTGGTCTATTGAAGAATTGCACTAAAATGGGAACAGTTTTTGATTGCCACTCAGCTGCAAGTGACCAGAAACGACACTCTTGTATGTGGTTGAAGCAGCTCGCGGCTTCCTGTCTTATGCCAAGAATACTTTGGAATGCAAAAAATCCTCTGTAAACTATAACAACATTTGTTGGAAAAATATCAAGATGCAAAACTACAAACAGCAGGCGAAGCTCGACCGAAAATCGTTACAGAGGTTACATAGCGCCAAATATAATAATAATAAAGAGTAAGGGAAAACCTCTGAGATTGTGCGCAGGGTTTGAGATCCACCGCATAAAAAGTCATTCTGTGAAGAGATTTGACGACTTACGGAAGGTTTTCAGATCGAAACATACTCAATTAGAAACCAAGTCAGTAATTTGGTGAGAGACTTTTAAAGTTAATGAAGCAAACAATTCTTCAGCCTGCTAAAGCGGCATGAATGTAATAAACAACAAATATAGATTTCGCGGAGTCTACATCAAATAAGAGGGAGGACTATACATATGTACATATGAATTAAAAAAAAAAAAAACAAATTTTTATTATATGACAATTTTCTAAAAAAAAAGACCCCTTTTTCGAAACTAAAAATTTGAAAAGGTAAATTTGTGAAGGTAAAAAACAATGCCTAAATTATTTAAAAAAATCTTAATAATACGAAAATATTTTAGCTGGCATTTTAAGCAAATTGAAAACTGAAATAGTTTTATTTTTTATTTTTTGTCTGAGCTTAGAAGACAAGATCTATTTTTTTTATATATTTAAAAAATTTCTTGAAAAGAAAAATAAATATAAAATTATTTAAAACCAAATACGTCACAAAAATTCTAATAAAAACTTTTTTTCGAAAAAGATGGCTTTAGTGGTCTGTATCTCGGATGGCTCTACAATGATGATATTTTGTAATAAAAGAGATATTGAGGGAAATGTTGATCACAGAAGGGGAATTTTGTTTCGCTAGGACACCGTCAGATCGATGGTGACTTGCCAAAAGCTTCGAGACCTTAGCTGGGAGACTCTTAAGCAACTACCTTTTAGTCTCGCACCAAGTGAATCTCATCTGTAACTGTCTATGGGAGACGGTTTGGTTGCTGAAGAATTGGTCTCAAGAGAAATCTGTGTTAAGTGATTGCCGCAATTTTTTCCAATATGGACAAGGGTTTCAATAAGAGAAGCATAATGACATTATCTTCAAAATGCCAACAAGTGATCTAGCAAAACGGTGTATATTTCACACAAATCGAACAAATCTAAGTATGGTAAATAAATAATTCAATTTAATGCGAAAATACGGGATTTCCTTTTAACAGACGAACAGGTATTTTTCGCGAACATCAAAGCTGATAACTTCTGTTACTGAGAAGGAAGAATATTTACAAGTGGCAACGATTAGAATAGAAGATTTCCTAGTTTCCTCCTTAAGTGACTTTATTATAATGATATAAATTTTTCATTTTTATGTTTTTTTTTTTTAAATTTAAATGTATTTCTACTCACCACTGCACGGCATGCCGGCGTCCGGTAAATATCACTTGCGCCAGAGAGGCTTTGGAAATATTTCTTTGTGCCATAAACTGTATCCATTTTCTTGCTTCTGATATAGTCCGCCGTCTTTGCAAATATTTTGGTCGTACAAAAATTTTAATATTAATTTTCCTTCTATTATTAAATTTTACTTTTATGAAATGGAAAAAAATTGTCTCAAATATTCTCACGCTTTCACTTTTATTCACTTGATTTAAATGTTTTTCGTGGCAATTTAAAATATTTTAATTCGTTTAAGCCGCACTAGTAGAAACTCTGGCCTACGCCTCTAGGCAACATATTGCTAAGCGAATGGATGGAATTTTCTTGTCATTTCTTGCCTCGCTTACTCACGCACACACAAGCATTCGTGCAACATTTCCATGCAAAATTACACCACACTTGCAGTGACAACAGAGTCTTGTAGATGTATGTGTGTAAAGTCACGTGGAAATTTATTAATAGCATTAACTAATGAATGCAACGAACGTAGAAGAAGAAAAAAGTGGAATAGTTGGAAAAGTGCAGCAGCTGCTGTTGATGTTTACTACGCGTAATGAAATTGGGTACGCAAAGGGTTGCCGTTGTGGGTTTTTTCACAATTTTTTTTCCTTCTTGCTCTATACTGTTGTAACAATACAAAACAGCAGCTACAGCAACTTGGTTTATTTATTTTTGTTGCATTTGTTGCCGGTGTTTTGACGGGCGCTGATTATGAGCGATGACCTGCCGTTGGCTGTTGTACTCGTAAATTCCACGTGCACCGTCGTGCTGCTGGGTGATGATCCTTTTGCGTTTCAGGTGGGAGTTCTGCTTTCACATTAAAGTTTTCTGCAAAGAATTGTGAAATAAATGGTTAGTTAAAAACTTCGATTAAAGCGAAAATTTCCTGAAATTATAATCAGCTATATATGTGAATATAGCTTACGCAACTGAATATTGATTAGAAATAATAACAATAATAAGAAATAATTTTTTTTTATTAAAATCAATCATTTATAACAGTAGCTAGCTTATTAGCTTATTCATATACTCGTGAACTCGTAAAAATATATTAATTAAATAACTTTCCAAGAAGTATTTACTTTTCACATTTTTGCAAAAAACTTTACTTTTCACATTTTTCCAATAAATATATACGTATGACTGTGTATAAATTAAGGAAAAAAATACTTTTCTTTTTTCGATTTTTGTAGAAGAATGTTTTCTCTGTTTGTTGAAGACGAAAGCCTTCAATATTTGAGAGCCACTGGTGAATTTTCCATATCGCTGCTCGCAGCAATGCGACCTTTTGAGCAAACGTTCATCTACTTGATGGTATTTTCGCTTTGAGCTCTGATTGTTTCGTCTTTTTATATATTTTTCGAATCAAATGCCTTTCTTTAAAATAAATTATGGTACAAAAAAAATTATTAAATTTTCTAATGGGGAAAATGCATATAATAACTTTCCTTCTTGTCAAAAACCAAGCGGTAATTCTTCTACATATTGGCTGGCTCTTTTTTTCGTTTTCTTTTTCCTCTTGGTTTTGTTCTTCTTTTTCGTAGTTTTCTACTCCTTTTTTTCTTCTTGATCTTCTCCTTATTATTCTTCTTCTTCTTCTTCATTTCCCTCTTCATTTTGTAGTTATTCTTCTTTTTTTCGTCTTCTTCGTAAATTCCCTTTTATTTTGTTTTTCTTCTTCTTCTTCTTCTTCTTCTTCTTCTTCTTCTTCTTCTTCCCCTCTCCTTCTTCATTTTGTAGTTCTTCCTCTTTTTCGTTTTCTTTATAATCCCCCCACTCCCTTCTTCTACCTCTTCTTCTTATTCTTCTTCTCCTTCTTACTCTTCTTCTTCTTTTTCGTCTTCTTCTTCTTCTTCACCTCCTCTTCTTCATTTTGTAGCACTTCTTCTTTTTTGTCTTCTTTATATTTTTCCTCTTCATTTGTAATTCTTCTTATTCTTCCTCTTGCTCTTCATCTTGTTCTCCTCCTCCTCCTTCTTCTTCTTCTTCTCAACTGACGTAGTCACTCGATTCACGTTTGCTCTCTCCATTTCGCGCTAATGGAAGACATAAAGCGAAGCCATTGATTTCTTCGCATGATCTTTCCAACGGTGAGGTGGTCTTCCTCTTCCGCTGCTTCCAAAAGGCGGATCCTACTTCAACAACTTTCAGTGCCTTAATATTTTCGTTCATCAGAACGATATAAGCTAAACAGCGTAACTGTTGTCTCTTGATTCGCTGAACTATGTCAATGGCTTTGAGGGTGGAATCAAATAATATTGTTGTTATATAGCAATACGATAATGATGATAGATTTCTACAGTTTGGTCCTTAAAATCGACTGGCTGTGGTTTTCGAGTATATCTCTATTGTCTATAGGAACATCTAAGACATAGGCGTTATTGCCACGTAAGATAGAGCTTTATTATTGTCGGTGTATTCAAGCAGCATCCTCACACGATATATTTACTCCACAAACGAGGTGAGATAGAATCGGCTGAGTGTAGGGCATGCGCAGCGGAAAACGAAACACTGGAGCATTACTTTTGCATGAGTGTGGCACTCAGTCGATTGGGACGTTAAATCTATCACGGAGCTCGAAGCTACAGCCTTATGCAGATTAGTGAGCATGTATGGAAGAAATTCATTGAATAGAGCATTTCATTGCTGAGCTGAGCTTAGGAGCGGTCAAGTCTTCCACTTCAACTTCCACTTTTAACCAACTAAGCAACCATAAGGAAATTATTTTACGCCTTACAAAACAATTTGGCAGACGGCATTTTCCTACTGAAGAATAAATTGTTACTTAATCAAAGTGATTGCTGTATGTATATGTTGGATATAAGGAATCTCTGTAAATATTCTTATGCTTCAAGGAATTCGGGTCTTCTTCGGCAGAAGGGCATTCCAGGTCTACGCATAAGTCTTTAAGGTGAATATAAACACTTCTAATGGGCCGCGAATAAAAAATGTTACCAATCCTCTCTAGTAAAGTACTGCAAGACCAAGAGCAAAGAGATCTTTCTGGGCCTGATCCTTATGATTTTTCGGGTGTGCCTTTGATTTCGTTATTCATTTCAGAGTACCTGGTGATATGAAAAATTGACTAGAGAATGCTCATCCCTGCAAACGACATGTTCAAGCCACCGAATACGGTGCAACTGTAAGCGCTTGATTATGTTCATATATATACATATGATTCATTATAGAGCTAATATAATTCGTGGTGCAATTTTCTTCGTTAGCCTTCCCCAACTCTAGCAAGGCCTTAGATCTTGTCTAGAATAAATTTCTTGAAGGCTCCAAGTCAATTTTTACCATTTTTCGTCATTGCCTGTTCCATGCGCCATACAAAAGGATAGGCATGTTGAGAAATTTTTAGAACTTAACTTTGGCTCATCGTCGAGAAATCGAGTGGAATATCCTTTCCATTTGCCTACCAAACTCTAAGTAGAATCGAAGGTTACAGTGGAGTTGATGCTGGATTCTAAATAGACAAAGTCTTTTACAACTGTCACGTACAGTACTTTGTTTTGACAAAGCCTCTTGTATGATACATTAAGACCAGAAAGTCTCCCAAATTTGTTTTTTTTTTTTAATATGGGCTTTCATCATGCAACGGGACGTTGTTGACGTGAAGGCTAGAATTGTGAGCCAACACCGGGCCATCGCGCCGATCTTTAGTTGTGAACGATTTTAAGACCAAAAACTCCTTCAATGCCATCGATCCACCACAGTATTTACGGGATTTGAGCCCACGCGACTTTTTTTGTTTTCCAAACTCAAGTTACCACTCCGTGTAACCCGTTTCGACTGGATGGAGGTCGTAAAAGAAAATCTGCGGAGGGAGCTGTGGTCGACTTATTTCGACTGCTGCTGCAAACAAACTGGTTTGGCAGATCGTGCTCATTTTTGGCATAGCAATTAGAGATAGCGCCACCAACTGAACAAGAAAGTGCTAAAAAATATTCAGCGCGGGCAGTTTAAATGACAATTTCCGTAAACTTTCTGGTCTTAATGTATACCATTTACTTACGCCACCAGCCTCATCTCTTTAATGTATATGGTGCCGTGACGATTCAGATCAGCTTAGTCTTAGACGGTTAAACAAATATCGCATACATATACTTCAGAACACACGATATGTGTCTCTCTACAATGTTGCTTTATAGGAATGCTTACTAGGCATGTTTTTTCATTGGTATTTTCCGCCACTCGCATTGTTGCCAAGTATATATGTATTTGTAGTAAATTTATGTACAATTATAATAGCTCTGCTGACTGTATATTATTTTACAAATTTTTCCTTCAACATTTTTTTCGCTCCTTATCGCATTCCATTTCCTTTTACTCCATTAGCCGCCGGCTAATCACACAACTTTATCTCGCTCCTATTTTATTGTCTTCTTACAGCCTGCTGCTGCTGCTGCAGCTGCTGCTAGTACTGCTCCTAAGTAGTCTTCATCTCTTGCGCTCCAATTTCCAGCAACTCTGTGCGTCTATTTGTCTTTTGCTGGCGGCTGATAGTTGCATTCTGAGAACGAGCTAAGAATGTGTAAGAAATGTGTCTTTGTAACTGAGAGCGAGCTTACTGTTACTTTGTTGCACGAGCTTGTTATGAAGCGCTAATGTCGGTTTGGTGTTGTTGGTGTTGCTGTTGTTGTTGGTGTTGTTGTTGTTGTTGCTGTTGCGGGTGTTCTTGGTATCTTGGTATTATTGTGAACATTTACTGCAGGCAGTCGTTGTTGTTGTATGGTTTTGTTTTTCATTTCTCTTTCTTTTTTTTTGTGCTAAAATTTTCACTATTCTCCAGGCAGCTTTTGTTGCAAGCAAAACCCGTTCTCAATTCCACAATAAAAACAACTAAAGAAAGCAGATGAAGAGAAGAGGCAGTGGCAGCGGAAGAATTTGGTAAAACTCAGCCAAACCTTGTTTGTAGCTGCAGCTGCGGCGGATTGGCAACGACCAACCATTGCACACTTTTCCTGATTTTCCTTACATTTGTCGCCAACGCAGTTTGTATGTATTGTATGTACGAGTATGTATCTTTGTTGCGGTGCTGCTTGGACCTCGGGCAGCACATTTTGCTTGTTTTGTTTGTTGTTGTTGCGGATGAAGTTTCCGCCGAAAAGTGAGAATTTCCCTGCAGCGCGTCTCACTCTGCGTTTTGTTTTTTTTTTCTGTTGTTGGCTTTCTTGTTTGCTGCTCTTCATTGTTGCCACTCCTTTACACTTCGCTTCACCGCTTCCTTTACACATGCCTTTGTTGTCTTGCCAGTTTGTTGCATAAACAGGATTGTCCACTTTTGTTCAACGTCGCGGCGCTGATATTGGCATTGTCAGTTTGGCTTTGCCCGCTGTTTGACTACTTGTCTGGCCTTTAAACTGCCTGACTTGCAATTTATATTTTTTGTTGTAGCCGTGAATTTTATACTATTTTTGTTATTTACTAAAATAACGTCAGAGGATTACTTTAGCTGACTTTTGTAGAGAAGACGCGCTAAATGTAATGACTCGGCAATTAAGTGTGGACTGAAGAGCCAGTCATCTCTTAAATGACCATGAGCAATTTATTAAAATTTATTAAATTATATATAATAATTAGTATATATGAATGAGGCCTTTATTTTTAAATTAAACGAAAAATTACTTTATTGCTGGGAAGTGTCTATTAGACCCATGCTTCTTCATTTTCCGAGGGTATAATGGGGTTTAGTTCTGCCGCTATGTAAGCAGCTACCCAATTCCAACTATTCCGTCCTCGTTTCACGGAACGAGAGCCCCCCGTTGTGCGAGATGCCTTTGGGTTACACCTAAAGAGGGTAAGCATTCAATCCGTCATATTCGGTT